CATGCACATGCAAACTACGTATTAACCTGCAGAACCAGCGGGAATAATGAAGTCATATCCGGGCGCTGGGGAAAACCAGGTCTACGCTACAGGCTGTATTGTAAACTGGTTCAATTTTTCTGGAAAATAATCTGCCCATACATTACAGGAGTTATCGAAATGTTCTACCTTTTGACCTAGTTATTTCACTCTGGGACTGAGCCTCAAAGAAAAAGAAGAGAAGCAGAGTAACTTTGCAGAGATACACGCAAGGGCACTGTTCTCGAAGGTGAAAACTGAGGGGCACGAGGCCGCGTGCGCATGTTTACCACAAAGCGGATGTGCTCAGTGCATCTGCGGAGGTGGGAAGATCTCACATTCACTTCTTCATTCAGTAACTATTTATCGGGCACCAAGTGGGCCGGGCACTGCCCCAAGGGCTGGTATCTCATGCCAGATGAGCCAGGCGTGTGTGCCAGGGCTCCTGGGAGCCATGTCTGTGCAGAAGAGAAAAACATAGCTTCTCTGGGCACATGCAGTCCTGGGGGTGCAAAGCTGTCAAGAAAACTGTCCCCCTTTTTATTTTTTCTTTATTGATTTCTTTTTTAGAGAGAGAGAGAGATCGAAACACTGATGAGAGAGAACATCGATTGGCCGCCTCCTGCATGCCCCCCACTGGGGGTTTGGTCCACATCCTGGGCCTGTGCCCTCACTGGGAATCGAACCAGTGAACTCTTGGTACAGGGGTCCCTGCTCAACCACAAAACTGTCCCCTTTTGCAAAGTCCAGAGCGGCTGCACAGGGCGGCACAACATGGGCCCAGCCCTCGCCTCGCACCCGCGCGGTCCGCCGCCGGTCATTCAGTGAGGAAGAAAGACTGGAGAAGTGACCGCGCCTGGAGGTGCCTGGTCACCCAGACGCGTTCTCTGAAAGGAAGGAACATGCTCCCGCAGAGCATGGCGCAAGGACTGGGGGTCCCTCAGCGCTGAGCGAAGGAGGCCCCAAAGAGCCGAGATGGGGCGGGGCCGGGGCACCGGGCAGAGGCAGCCCCGCGCAGAAGCTCCCCGCGGTGGCCAGGCGCTGGCGCGGGGGGACTGTGGCCTGGGCGAAGACAGCAGGGTGCGGGCGAGGCCGACAGGCAGGCAGGGCTGGGCTCGCTCGGTCTGGTTGGTCAGGACAAGAACTCTGACCTGGTTCCTAAGAACATCGCGAAAGCACCGCATGGTTTTAAGATGTGATTGTGTCTGTTTCCTGAAGATCCCTCTGGTGGCCGGCGGCCTGCGGCAGGGGCCACGGTGGCTGGAGGGGAGGCCTGGAGTGCGGCTGTCCAGGGGCACGAGCAGGTCCCTGCACTGACGCAGACACAGCAGGAGGGACCGCGGCAGGCCTTGCCGGTGACGGGCCATCCTGTGTGCCTATTTTTTTTTAATTTCGGAAGTTAGCAGTTTGAAGAGCTCAGCATGATATTAGCTTCCTAGGGCTGCTTTACAAATCACCTGGAAACCAGTGACGTACAACAGAAGTTCATCCTCTCGTCTGGAGGCCAGAGGTCCAGGCTGTCCCGGGGCCATGCTCCACCAAGGGCTCTGGGGGACAGGCCTTCCTGCCTCCTCCCGGGGCTCCGGGACTCCTGGCGGGGGCACACCCTCCAGTCTCACCTCAGTCTTCACATGGGCCCTGCTCCCGTGTCCGTGTCTCCTCCGCCGTCTCGTGGGAGGGCACTTGTTGCGTGGAGGGCCCTCCAGTAACCCAGAATGGGCTCGTCTCTAGATCCTTGACTTAGTCACTTCTGCAAAGATCTTTTTATCTCCCCAAATTAGGCCATGCTCACAGGTCGCAGGGGTCAGGGCATGGATGGCATCCCACCTGTGATGAGCATTGCTGACTGGTCCTTCATACGCCCCAGAGGGCGCGGGAGGGCAGCCACGGAAGGGCACTGCCTTTAGCTCTCAAAGATCCTGAAGAGATGGCCACATCCAAGGGGCGTGCGGGTCCTGCGTGACACCTCGCGTGTGGACACAGTGGACGCCGTCCCTTCTGCGGCTGCTGCACAGCCCACTTCCCTGTCAGGGCGACATGGCACGTGGAAACAGTCCATGCGTTTTGCCTGCTGCCGGAAACCTCCTGACTCACTGCTTGGGTGTCCCTCCGGTCAGTGATGGTCGCCTGCTCACCGCGCCACACACTCCCCAAATACAACTTTCGGCTGCTTTTATCAAATCACAACAAACTATTGAATTAATTAAAAATTGTGGAAGAGCTCCTGCAAGCCGTTTTTTAACGGAGTCCAGAGAGTCACAAAAATGAGCACTGACTGTATGGTCTCTGCGCTGAGGCGACATACAGATGGAAAGTCCTCGTGTTTTAATAGCTCAGTCTGTGGACAGCATCCAGCTGAACGAGATGATTGTACATCAGCGGTAATGACTGGTTAAAATCATGAGTGTGATGGGAACAGGGGCTCAGTCATCGTTTTGGGGTGCTCGGAGGTGGCTTCAGAGAGGTGGTCTTTGATCTGAGTTTTGAAAGAGGAGTCAGCATTTTCCCGGGGAAGACATTCCAAAAAGCGAGGAACCAGGAGGGAACCCTATTGAGACCATAACAGCAAGACCAAAGGGAAAGATTCCTCTGTTCCGAGAAAGGAGAGATTCTGACAGGTGCGGGAGGTGGGAAGTGGTCAGACACACGGATGGGCGAGTAGAACTGGGCACGAGATGCGTGTGTCAGGAGAACAGGGGGTGTCTGCACGGGGCAGATGTTAACTGGAAATGTGGTCTGGGTTTTCTCCACCGCAGGTTGTAAATCTATATTTTAGCCAGGGCTCTGCTCTCTTGGATTCATATATAACATCCTTGAAAACTCTCAGTTATTTTATTATGTTTTTTTCCTAAGGAAAAAAAAAACCCTCTTTAAAACGCTTCACAGTTGTGTTGGGTCTGGCTCATCTTAACTAAGGTCGAGGCACTTTTGAGTTGCAAACACGATTGTTAGATCGTTCCGGTGTCTGGCTGTTGGCAGGCTCGCCTGCCTCTCGGGCACAGGCTCCTGGCCCCTGGGGCCCGTGGCAGCTGTGGGCTGTGGCGCCCGTGGTCGGGGGGGGGGGGATGTGCTCCCACCCACAGCCCCTCGCCACCGCTGGAAAGACAGTCCAGGCGGAAAGCGCCCTTCTGCTCCAGCGAGCTGTCTGGTCATCTGCTCCCATCTGGCCTCAGAAACAGTGGGCAAGAGGGGATTTATCGGAGACGCTGCTGTCAAGATTCCTTTCAACTGCAACCCGGCAGCTCTGGGTTGTACCCTGGACCCTGTCCTCCTGTGATGATGTCAGCAACCGACTCCTCAGCCCTCGGGAGACGCAGTGGATTAATTTCTGCCATGTTTCAGATTGGACCTTGTAGATTACTATGATTATTAAGTCACTAAAACCTTAAATCACCTTCTCAAGGACTCCCTGTGGGAAAATAACAGAGAACTGGCAAAGGACTCAGACCTCGGAGCTTCTGAGAAGGGTTTCCGCCACTGGCCCCGAGCAGACACTCGCAGGAGTGCCCACCTGGCTTTCAGCAAGGAGGAGAATAAAAGAAAAGCCACATTATCAGCAGAGAAAGAACATGCGTCCACATTCTAAGAAAACCCTCATTATGCTAATATGAAGTCACCTGAAATCCTCCGTCTCTCTGCGGCCTGGAGATGACGCCTCAGCAGCTGTAAGTCAGGGCTGGACCGAGGCCTGTCCTGCTCACGGAGCTCGGCTGGAGCGCGGCCCTCTCACCTGGTTGGCTGTTACGTGGGCAGGACCGTGGCGCCTAGAGCCTCAGCTTCCTAACGGCTGACCACACGCTCTTCACCCTGCACTGGGCCCTTGGCTGACCTCCCCTGGCCTCCGGCTCCTCCAGTGTCTTCTCCTTGGGGCTGGGGGTGTCTTTGAAATCACAATTCTGATTGCATTATTCTCTTGTCTGCACCCTCCACTGGCATCCATTTGTAATGAGAATAAAATACTACTTCCTTCTCCAAAGGCACTGGGGCATCTGGCCCCTGCTCACCTCTTTGGCCTCATTTCCACACAGCCTCCGTTCACTGGGCTGTGTCTTCCCAGACAAGCCGTGGCACCCAGGCCCTGCACTGCCTCCATCATCGGGGGCTGCTCCCTTCCTCTCTCAAACCTCAGTTCAAAGCTTACCTGTCCATAGTGGTCCCTGAGCACCCTTCTTAAAGTGGCATCGCCCGTCACTTCCTGACCTTTGTGACCAGGACTGCAGTGATCGCTGTGGGTTGATCTCCTCCAGCTGTTTGTTTATTGTCAGTTTCCCCCCACATGACTGTGAGCTCTGTGAGGGGAACATCTACCATTTCCACAGTATATTCCAGAGCTCAGAGCAACACCTGGCAGCCTAGCATGGGCCAGGTGTTCAGTGCGCATTCTTACTCTTGGGGACTTACTTGTAGGATAAATGTCTCCTGGCCAATAGTAAATCATAATAACAATAGTTAATAGTTATTGAGCTCTTAATAGGTGCTGGATGCCATTCTAATAATGAATACTCGTCGTCAGCCCTCTAAGATATGCACTATTATGATCATCGCTATTAAGATGAGGAAACTGAGGAATCGAGAGGTCAAGAGGCAGAGGACGAAGCCAGGAAGTGATGGTCTGCAGTTTGGACTCTCCACCTGGGTCCCGCAGCTGCCGCATCCCTCGCCTAGCTAGCCTCCATGTCCTGGGCTGGCGCCGCAGGCTCCCCGCAGAGGGGCTCACTCTCAGCCCGTCACGCCTCCTCCATCCAGCGTATGTTCAGCCTCTGCCTTCCGAGCATGTCCTGTCTCAGGACCAAGGAGCTGACAGAGCCAGGTGTTTGGGGGAGGGAGGGACACGGGGAAATGTGAAAACCCTTGTTTTACCGATGCTCTCAGTGCAAACAGACCTTTAAGAATTCGGAACAGGAATCTTACTCGTTTTATGACCTAAGATCTCTTTATGACAAATGACAGACTTCTGCGTTTACGGGGTGTCTTTCTGATACCTGATTTCTCCAAACACGGTCCCGGCTTTCAGAGTGGCCAGAACTTGAGCGCCATCGGTGCCTCCAAGAACCTGGACTTCTCCTTGCTTCACAACGTACATTTCCTTGCCGATCTCTCCCTATAGGCCAAACACAAGAGGAACTTCATTCATGACACTGATCCCCAAATGAAGAGACAGAAACTCTCCCAGAGGAATACACGGAGGAGGGGGAGAACACCAGTGTAAAAACAGCCACCGGAAGACCTGAGGTCAGTGCGGACACTGGGTGCACCGTCCTGTGAAGGGAGGACACTGGGCCCGGGCACCCTGAATGGCGCTGCGGGACACGTGGAGACACCTGGGTCAGCACGCGGCCCCAGGAGTGGACGTGGGCAGAGGAAATGACTGATGGGAAGCGTGGGCACTCCAGCTTTGGCGAGCAGGGCTTTGCTTTGAAGCAGGCGCCTGGCTGGCCCACAGCACATGGGCTGCCACCGTGAGAAGGCGAGCCCGACCCTCCTGCCGACAGCGTCAAGCTCCGGTTTCAGAAATCAGGGTCTAAGGGCTGTGTTCTTGCTTGGCACAAAGGGGACCTGTGACTGCGGCAGGCTGTCTTCTTCATTCTTGCTCAGCTCCCGGACTCCAGGAGCAGGACAGCGGCCTTGTCCAAGCCGGGGATGCTCACATGGCCGCCAACTGTGTCTCATTCCATGTGTGAGCCACAGTCCAGACTTGCTGGCCCATCAGCACTGTTTTTTTTTTATCCTCACCCAAGGACAGTTTTGCATTTATCTTCAGATAGAGTGGGAGGGAGAGAGAGAGAGAAATATCGATGTGAGAGAGACACATCGAGTGGTTGCCACCCACACGACCCCAACCAGGGCTGGGGACAAACTGCAACCGAGGTACCTGCCCCTAGCGGGAACCAAACCCGGTCTCTCTGGTCTGCGGGCTGACCCTCTAACAGCTGAGCCAAACTGGCCAGGGCAAAAGAACATTCTACTTTATAATTACAAAGTATTTTCATAGATACTAACTCATTTATTTATTTTTTCCCTTTTTTTATTGAATTTATTGGGGTGACACTGGTCAGCAAACGTATACAGGTTTCAGGTTCACAATTCTACTGCATACCATCTGTGCGTTGTGCTGTGCGCTCACCACCCCAAGTCGAGTCTCCTTCTTCACCACTTGTCTCCCTCGACCCTCTGACTCATTTAGTGCTTGCAGGGATCCCAGGGAGGCAAGCAGGAGGGAGGTCGCTAGCACTGTTCAGAACTGGCGGCGAGGTGTGGACAGGTGCGTGCTGCGCGGGGTCCAGGGCCGGGGTAGACAGCCTCAGAGCAGCGCCGAGCACGGGCTCTGCACAGGACCTGCAGACAGACCCCACCTAACAGCTCCGACACTGAGACGGGCATCTGAGAGGCCAATAAAATAGCTTCAAGTTACATTCAGAATAAAGGAAAAGATCTGAAAATTGGTTTATCCAAGAGATACTCCAGGAGCAGGTCCTATTCCTCATTCTCCGCATGAAGTAATTCTCAAGGAACTGGAAGGATTTTCCAAAGGCAGTTATTACAACCGACTGGAGGTCGCAGTGCATAATGGAGGCTTAAATAGAGTTCAGCACTTTAATTATTTCTTAATGATCATTTCAATAATTTTCCAAGGAGATCTGGCATAATCAGCGAACCCAAACTTGCACCGCTTCTTGCATATTTCTGGTCGAACTGAAGCCTCTCCTGCTTTAATCAGCGCTCCAGCGGGTCCCTCGGCACGAGGGCTGACAGCGTACGGGTCAGCCCAGCTCCGGGGGCAGTTTGTGTGCTAATTAGGAGGAAGCGTAGACAGTGAGCATTTCACCTTTTCAGGTTCCTGAGTAGAAGCTATTTTCAGGCTGGTGGGGGCCTTGCGACACCCAAAATAATTCCTGCAACTTGTTCCTGGAACAATTTCCATGAACTCTTCGAGGCTGCCCGAGCTCCCCAGTCGGTGAGTGTAGGGGCCACCCCAAGGATGAGGCAGGGGAGCAAACTCTGACCACTGACATTTCTTTAGTCATTCAGGCAACCTCCAAAGAACATGGGGTTTTTTTCTTCCCTTTTGCTGCAGGGGTTTGCAGAAATGAAGAGCAAAAACTAAGCTTAATTCAGATGTCTAAAATTAGGCCAAGTAACAAGCTTCCATCTCTGTCAACATCGACTATGACTGAACTCCCCTCTTCAGAATGAAGACAAGGAATGTGCTTGTCGTCTCCTGTGTCCTCACTTTCGCTCCCCTTGCTCAGCCCGTCTCCCCTCCTCATGTCCCCGACCTGCCTTTAGAATTGCTGACGACGTGGCGCGAGCAGAGGAGGCTGTGCGGAGGCTGTGTCTCTGCACCTGCGCCTTGTTAAGCAGATCAGCATGGTTTGCCTATCTCTGTGCGGCCCTGCCACTGGGAAGCCCGTGGGAAGGACATCGAGGTGCAGCCAGGCCATGTCCTCCCAAGGGCACCACTGCCGGGGGGCTTGGAACCGAGCTGTGGTTTGTATTCCCTTTAATGCAAGGCACTCCGCTCACGAGTCTGCCTGCTTCTTGGGACTGATCTATGTGGAACTGTATGTGCTTGGTTTCCATCACATCACGACCCGACAGCTGCTCCAGTTCCTCCTTAACCTCCACAAACAGTGGGTGCTTCTCTGTGACCTTGGTCCTCTTCTCCGACCTTCCCTGGGGCTTCTCATGAAGTCAGCTTCCGTGCCGGTTGGTTCCCAAAGACTGACCTCCGGTTCCATCCTCTGCTGGACGGGACTGGTTCCGCACGTGTCCACCCAGATGCTGATGTGCCCAAGCTCCGCTGGACGCTGCCTGTCCCCATCAGCCCAGCTGAGCACTGTGCTGCCTCGTCTTCCCACCCAGGGCAGTACCTCCGTGTCCTTGCTAAAGGAGGCTTTTGCGGCAGACTTTTTGAAGGCTGTGCCGATAACCCGACGGTCTTCCCCTCCTCCTCTGCACTGTCCTGGCCGCTGCATTTCCCCTTCACAGAGTTAGCGCATTTGGGAAGTATGCATTTATTTCATTTCATTTGCTTATCATTCCTGTCTTCCAGCAGGCAGTGAGTCTCAGCTTTGGCTGTAATTTACAGTCATCTGGAAGCTTTGAAAACATGGATATGTGGGCTCCGCCACACCAGCTGACTTGCTGGGGATGGACCCAGACTCCTAGATTCAAGACAGTCTGATATCACTGTGAACTAAAGAGCCTGAAATTGAACTCCGAGTCCCTGGAGGACAAGAACACCTTGTTTCCCCCTCACTACTGATTATACCCAGGACCCAGCACAGGGCCTGCCCGTAGTGTTCAAAACACTGATTGAGTTTCATTGAGTAAACACTACCAAGGTTTTTAACTGGGGACTGACTGTCATTCTGGCCCAGCCTAGCACACACTTCTCCTTGCTTCTGCCTTGGCGGACCCTCTTCCTTTCCTTGTCCTGAGTGCCGGTTTCTCCCTGGTTCCCGCCAGTTCCTCCTCCCACACTTGGCTTGTTCTCCAGGACGTGCTGCCAGTGCCCATCGGGATGAGGGTCCTCCGTCCATGGCCCACCACAGCTCCCACAGGCGACTCTGGACCTGCACGAGCCTGTGGAGTCTCGGGGTTCGGGATGGGATCGGCTCTCAGTCCTCTGAATTGCTCATCTTCCTCTACTTTTCATTTTGGTTATTGACTTGACTAATGATTTATTGATTTTTTTTTCTTTATTGATTTTTAGAGAGAGAGGAAAGGAGAGGGAGAGAGAGATAGGAACATCGATGAGGCAGAATATCAATTGGCCGCCTCCTGCACGCCCCCCACTGGGGATCAGGCCCTCAACCTGGGCATGGGCCCTGACCAGGAATCAAAACAGCGACTTCTTGGTGCAGGGTCAACGCTCAACCACTGAGCCACACCGGCCGGGCTTGACTATTGATTTCATCTCTCAAGACATCATTCTTCCCTCGTGTTGCTCATCAGAGATGTAGAAAAATGTTCACTTTAGCGTCATATACTGGCAAACATTTGGAAATTGATGATGATATTCATAGATGGAAATGTGATGCAGCTTTAAATGGAGGCCATAGAAGATTACTTAACAATATGGATAATGTTTGTAGAGCGTGTACACAACAGAACAAGTTCCAAAGCCTATGTACAGGATGAGGCCAATTGTGTGAAACTGTCCATCATGCGGTGCACAAAGAAAGGCCACCACATAGCAATAATGGCTGTGTCCGGCGGGTGGAATTTTTGTCCTTGTGCTTTTAAAAATAATGAACATGGATTACTTTTGTAATCATAAAAAGCACAGTAAAATTTAAAAAATGTGGCACTGCCCAGCTGCTGTGGCTCAGTGGTTGAGCATCAATCCATGTACCAAGAGGTCGCCGGTTTGATTCCCGGACAGGGCACATGCCCAGGTTGGGGGCCCGATCCCCAGTGGGGGGCATGCAGGAGGTGGCCAGTCGATGTTCATTCTCATTCATGTTTCTATCTCTCTCTCCCTCTCCCTTCCTCTCTTTCTCAAATCAATAAAGAAAAAAAAATTTGGAACGAATGGGCTGTGATGCTTGGTGACTTCCGTCTGTGAAAGCACCTTTGCAGACCGCCACTCACGTCCTGTAAGCGACGAAGCCCAGGCGCCTTGCTGCGCACCGAGCCCGAGTGCCTTGCTGTGTGCAGGCTGCCTGTCCCAGTGCGGCTGTGCTATGGAATTCGCCCTGCTCACGTCTGTCTAAACTTGTGCCCTTGAGAAATAGTACACTCGCCTCTTTGCAAATGAAATCTCCAGGCAAATAGATGGTGGATTTCAACCTGAGCAGCATGTCACAGAGCATCTGCGTGTCACAGCCCTGCAGAGAAAAACAAGAGAGAAAAGTAATTCCTGTAGACAAGGCTAGAAGACCAATATTCCAAATGATGTTAAAATGCAATGGAAAAACAGAGCAGTAGATGATGCTGTCTGTGTTGAACACTAAAATATTAGTTGCCAATGGACATGGACTTGTCTTGACCCACAGTTTAGGAAGAAACAACCCCCAAAGCTAGAGTCTAGCAAGAGCTTGGGTCCTGGTTGGAGGACAGGGTCTCAACCCTGCCTGCAGGATGTGCAGCTATGTAGCCTCTCTTGCCCCACTCCCGTAGTCTGTGGAATGAAGGTAAACACAGTACTAACCTCACGATGGTGAAATTTTACTCCTGCAAACTTAATGCTTAATTGATAATAGCTATTAATGAGTGTGATAATATAACAATAATTATCAATATATTAAGACTTACATATCAAAATCTTGGCTGATACCTTTTTCTTAGAACATGTTTTATGCTATTTTATATATTTTTTTCTTTATTGATATTAGAGAGAGAGGAAGGGAGAGGAAAAGAGAGATAGAAACATCGATGAGAGAGAACATTGAGTGCTTGCCTCCTGCACGCCCCCCACTGGGGATCAGGCCCACAACCTGGGCATGTGCCCTGACCGGGATTGAACCAGTGACCTCTTGGTGCAGGGTCAACACTCAACCACTGAGCCACACCGGCCAGTGTTAGATGTTATTATTTAATGTTTTAAGCTTGATGTCTTTCTTCTCTAACTCAATCATCATCTTCTTAAAGGTAGGATAATAGCTATAAAATCAATTATCTGCTGAGGGATGACTGCTCATATCCACTTTAATAATGTAGCCCTGGCCGGTTTGGCTCAGCGGTTAGAGCGTCGGCCTGCGGTCCTGAGAGACCCAGTTTGGTTCCCGCTAAGGGCATGTACCTCGGTTGCAGTTTGTACCCGGCTCTGGTTGGGTCGTGCCAGTGGCAGCCACTCGATGTGTTCCTTTCACATCGATGTTTCTCTCTCTCTCTCTGTTCCTCTCTCTCCCTCCCACTCTACCTGAACAAAAAATGGAAAAATGTCCTAGGGTGAGGATTAAAAAAATAAATAAATAAATAATGTAAGACACAGATTTGATTTGTTAGAACATGTGTTTATAATTGTGTTCTGTCCACCTAATTATAATGCATATGAATGGCTAAATAAAAATCTAGATGCTTCCAAATATTCATTTATGTAGTAGTTTCAAATCTTTTGCTTTCACCAAATTAAAAACACATTTATTTTATTTTATTTTATTTATTTTTTTATTCTCACCCGAGGATATTTTTCCATTTTTTGTACAGATAGAGTGGGAGGGAGAGACAGGAAGAAATAGAGAGAGAGAGAAACATCGATGCGAAAGGGACACATCGAGTGGCTGCCACCGCACGACCAACCAGGGTCGGGGACAAACTGCAACCGAAGTACGTGCCCTTAGCGGGAACCGAACCCAGGTCTCTCCGGACCGCAGGCCGACGCTCTAACCGCTGAGCCAAACCGGCCAGGGCAAAACACATTTTTTTTTCTTTATTGATTTTAGAGAGAGAGGAAGGGAGAGGGAGAGAGAGACAGAAACATCGATGAGAGAGAACATCAACTGGCCGCCTCCTGCATGCCCCCCACTGGGGATCGGGCCCACAACCTGGGCATGTGTCCTGACCGGGAATTGAACTGGCGACCTCTTGGTGCAGGGTCGACGCTCAACCACTGAGCCACATCGACCAGGCAATACCAAATATTTTAATTTTTTCTCCCAGAGCTGCCTACACATAGCAGCTTTCTTCTTGTGGTTGGTCCTGCCCATCCCTTAGGGAATTATTATTTTGCAGAAAGCTGATCACGATCGGGAGCAGAGGAAGGAGAAGCAGAGGGCCTGCCCCCATTTGTGATAGGTTCCCATTCCCCTCACAGTCACCAGTTCTCTGTGATGAGTCCAGTAGCAAACTCCTGATCTAGTGGCTTCTGGTCACCCGGCTCCTGTTGAGCCTTTTCAGTTTAAAGACTGCGGTCTTTATTCCACCACCAGGTGGCGCAACAGGCCGTTCATTACATTTTCTGTCACTTCTGGCAATTTTGTGGTAGAGGCAAAATGGGATTTCCCTAGCACTTAATTTGATAGAATATATTTAAAAATCAAGATTCAAATAATAAATCATCAAAGAGGAGGGGAATTGGCCAGCCTCATAAAACTTAATTACACCTTATTAGCTTAATACTTGAGCTTTTGGTTGGAATTACGTGCAATCTGTAAGGAAGAGGGCCATTTTTATGGAAAAAAAAACAAACCTGAAAAATATTATGATTTGACTATTCATCTCTAAGCTCTTTAGGAACTCTGATAACTCCATGTACAAGCAGCAAATTTTACTAATTAGCCAAAATTGATTGAAGCAAAATTCTAGAAAAAAAATCTGTCTCTAATTCTACCTTCTTTGATTAAGAAGGAAAAAAACCTACATGAGCTTGAGGGGTTTTTCCCAGTGGGAAAGTCGAGAAGTACATGTGAGTTAGGTGTCTGGGTGTGAAATGAACGGATGGGCCGAGTCTAGCCTGTGGAATCAGAGGAACGGCTGGAGGTCCACTGCCGTGACTCCAGGGAAACCTGCCAGGGCTCAGCACCTTATACTTACCTGTTGGTTGCGCAGGCTGGCAGGGGCACCACTGAGGCAAGTGGGTGGGCTGTGCCCACACCCCCCCACGCCCCAGCTCTGCAGTCGCAGCCCAGTGACTGCATTCTCTGACATGGGACAATGTAGCCATCAGAGGCTTGTGAGAGTTACTCGTGAGAAGGGAATGAAGCAATTAGAGCAGCTATATTGTAGCACATAGTCGGAACTCCACAAACAGCAGCTGTGAGTATGTTTTGAGATACATGGATCCATTTTGAAACCTGGAGACAGCATCAGTTTGGCTCGCTACCTCTGATGGGTTACAGCCCACGCAGGTCTGAGAGCGCTTGGAGGCTGCCGTGGTAGCTTTGTGTCAACCTGGGGAGGCCCCGGTACTCCGCTCTCTGTGACCCCCCTTCTCAGCGCCACTGCGGACGTATCCTTCGATGCATTTAATGCGTTACTCTGATGATTTAAAGCAGAGTCCACTCCATGACGTGGGTGGCTCTCATTCAATCAGTTAGAGGCCTTAAGACATAAAAGCTGGACCTCTGTGAGGAACAGGAGTTCTGCCCCTGGACGCAAGCTGCAGCAGCCTCTCTGCCCGCATCTGCGGTCCAGCGTGACGGGGGGGGGGGGGGGGCATCGCGAATAGACAACCTTCTCCCTACATGCGCATGCGCTCACTCAGGGCCACCTGGGACTAGGCACCCAGGCCTATGGTGACTCTGTGGCTGGGACCGGAGGGTCGGGGACAGTATAGACAGCCCTCACGTGGCAGTGTCCCCAGGACAATGCGTGGCACTCTGCTTTCCTTACATGACCTTTGCCAAGGCATCGTGCCCCTTGCTGTTCGTGCCCACTGCGACATGGACACAGTCCACCGGGCGTCCGGGAAGGGAGGCAAGCGCGTCCTTGCGTCTGAGCCCTTAGGAACTTGAATAGAACAGAGAATTAAAGCCATTGATGTGCCTTTTGGAGAAACTGAGGGTTTGGGGGAGACTCAGTCTTTCTGCTGCACTGCAAACAGCACCGCCCCCGCCCCCGCGCCCCCTGCTCAAGTTTATGAAGTGGACGAATCCTGCTGCGATCTCAGACTAAGGCCCAAGGGGTAAACCTGCAGTGTCCCCCAGGGCATCCTGGTACAGGTGTTTGTGAGTTACGTGACAGTGGTCAGACAGCTCGGTTTGGTCTGACCCCGAGGAGGGGAAAGACACGGAGCGTGGGTGCCAGACTCCAGTCCTGCTCCCTCTCTCGCCTCCTGCCCACCCTGTAAAGGTACCGAAGATTCATTTTCAGGGAGAATTCAAGACGCGGAGGTTTTCCCCTGTGGACAGTCACCCTCCTCTGTGGTCCCTGGATAATCTGGCCCATTTCCTGTCGCTGTGAGTGGGATTCTGTGCTGCCAGTCTGTCCCCTTTCACCCCTGCCTGGGCCTACAGCATCGGCCACGCCCACAGCCGGCTGGGGGGGGGGGCAGCCCCGCCCACGGCTGGTGATGGCCACGCCCTGGTTTAGAGAACTGCTGTGAGCCACCCGGAGCATCCCAGCCCCTGCGGACCCCAGCCCCGTCTGGCCCGCTCTGGAACTGTCCGCTCTGTGCACTCGGCAGAGCACACGGGGTTCGCTGTGAACACCGAGACTCACTCAGAGGCAACACGATGGTCAGCGGGGTGTAATTTATGAGATGAGGGTGTAGGATCACTGCTCAGCCTACTTCCTCCCTAAGAAAATAACAAATGTGTATAAACTACTAAGACTGTACAAGATTAGAAAGATGTCATACCTGCATATTTTCTGCTTCATTTGGATGTCAAATAAAACACTTTTCCCATTAACAAACATATGACTAGAAATGGGTTCTTTCTGGAGGAACTGCATCTTTCACAGAAATGTCAGGGAAGGACGAATTTAACTTTATGTACAATGTTCGCGAGATGTTAAGATTCACCCTTTCTCTCAGTCAGATGTTGCTGATTTTATGGAGTTCCAAACACACGTGAAAACAAGGGGGCTCTGAGGCTGAAAATCGATAACTTCCCAAATCAGACATAGTCCCATAAGTCATTGGTTTCAAATGTAAAGTTTTTTTTTCTTTAAAAAAGAGCCAACTGTAGTCACTTATTCTCAATTAAGCTAGTCATTAAGGTATAAAGAGTTTTATAACATTTAAAAAATACTGTTCAAGTGTGGTGATTACCAGGGGAAGGGGTGGGGGAGAAAGCAGAGGGTGAGGGGGGGTAAATGGTGATGGGAGGGGACTTGACTTGGGGTGGTGAACACACAGTACAGTGTACAGATGACGCATTGTAGAACTGTACACCTGAAACCTACATAATGTTATTAACCAATGTCACCCCAATACATTCAAATAAAATAAAAATACTGTTACCATGACTTAGCCTCGTGTCTTTCATACCTTCTTTTTCACCCTAACCTACAGGAATAGCTATTTACACTGTGCCAGCACATAAATGTGTGCATTTAAAACAAACAGAAGCAAATATGTTATAAGATGATGCCTGCCTTCCTCGTGTGTGAGGAGCCTGTGGTTTTCTCTCCCATTTGATATGCTGGTTAGGACCCCCTTACTTGACTAAATTCATGCTCCCCCTGCAGGCTGCCCCCCCAGATCAGAAAACTGCACATTCACTAGAGTCCCCCTGAACATCCACAACATCTCCACATTCTCTTTTGAGACCATTCTTTTTTTTTTCAATTGAAGAATAATTTATATTCAGTGAAATATATAAATTTTAAGGGACATGCCTAGTCAGTGTGACTCAATGGTTGAGCACTGATCCTGCACCAAGAGGTCACCAGTTCAATTCCCGGTCAGGGCACATGACCAGGTTGAGGGCCCGATCCCCAGTGGGGGGCATGCAGGAGGCGGCCAACTGATGTTCTCTCATCGGTGTTTCTATTTCTCTCTCCCTCTCCCTTCCTCTTTCTTTAAAATCAATAAAGAAAAAAATTACAAAGTAAATTTTAAGGGACATTTGGACCAATTTTGACAAATACATATTCTGTGTAACTTCCCTAGTAAGACAAAAGAAATCTATCACCTGCAAAGGTCCTCTGCTCTCTCCCTGGCCAGCATCTCCGTCCCCACCCCCACCAGAAGAAACCATGATCTTATCTGAATCATCACAGAATGACCTATTTACTTCTAAGACCATCCTTCGACCATCTCCGACCTTGGTCCCCTGCTCAACCCTACCTCTGATCCCCTTGGCTGGAAGATTCTGCCATTTGTCAAAGTCTTTAAAAATTATTATCTGCAATGTGATTTGTTAACCTAGAAGTAGTTGAAACAATCAAGAAAAGTCAGTTCTATATTAAAATTTAAGGTGATATCTTATCTGCTGACTCCTAAGGAGTCTGAGGTCGACGAAAACTCCCAGGTCTAAACACACAGGTATAAAACAGATCGTTGCTCTCTTGATATTTGCAATATTTTGATTTTGGACTAAGTCCAGAACTTTACTTTTGTGCTTGCTGAAATTAATGTTGGCTTTGCTCAAAGTTCAAAATATTCAGTTAATTTTAAGTTTTGTAATCTAACATATTTTAAACTATTCATTTTTGTGTTGGGTGATTTGCTAATTTTAAATCACATGGTTTATATCTTCATCGAAATCCTGATGGAAATGAGTATCAGGATAGATGGAGAAAAGGGTCCTGGGAGACTGACCCCACGCTCATGTCCTGCGGATCTCAGTTTGACCCGACATGGGAGACTCTGCCTCACACCTGCCGTCCACCTGCTGCTTCTTCAGCTTGTCCTGTGTCCTTCTGTCTGGATTATTTCTTCTCTTCTGTCCACACTTCTATCCGAGGGGATGACATCCAGTCTCACAGCTTACAACACATCAATATGTCGACATGCCCAAATTTATTGCTCCTGCTTGAACCCCTGTCCTGAACCCAGATTTATTTATCAAACTGCCGCCAGGACATTCCATCCGGGAGGCTAACTCTCGCCTCAGACTAACACTCACACACAGAGTCTCCACCCTGCTCACCCTGCTCACTCTACAGTGTCCTGTTCTGCAAATGACGTTCTTATCCCTCTTGCTCCTCAGGCTCAGATTCTTGGTGTCGCCCTGGACTGCTTTCTCTCTCCCTCCCTTCATACAATCCAGCAGCAAACACCTGGGCTCTCCCTTCCAGATCCATCCAGCATTTGGACATTTCTTTTTTTGGTATGTGCCCCTAGCGGGAACCAAACCTGGGACTCTCTGGTCCGCAGGCCGAAGCTCCAACTGCTGAGCCAAATCGGCCAGGGCAGATTTCTTTTCTTTTCTTTTCTTTATCCTCACCCAAGGACATTTTTCCATTTTTTGTTCAGATAGACTGGGAGGGAGGGAGAGGAAGAAAGAGAGAGATAGAAAAGAAACATCGATGTGAAAGGGACACATTGAGCGACTACCACCCTTATGACCGACCAGGGCCGGGGACAAACTGCAACCGAGGTACGTGCCCTTAGTGGGAACCGAACCCGGGTCTCTCTGGACTGCAGGCCGACGCTCTAATAGCGGAGCCAAACTGGCCAGGGTTGGACCTTTCTTAATAGTTCGGCTCGTACTACCTGGGTCTGGTCACTGTTACCTCCTGCACAGATGGTTACGGTGACTCCTACTGGCCCTTCTTCTGGTCTTTCCCCACCTAACAGGAAGAATGACCTTTTGCAAACTGATCTCAAGTAGGTCCCCTTCTACTCGAGAGCTGCAGCGGTCTCCTCGCCCAGTCCACTCAGAGTCTGCGGCGCAGCCCCCAGGGCCCAGGCCACCCGCCCTTGGCAGCCTCCCCTCTTCTCTGCCTTTGCTCCATCTCCAGGGCAGGGCTTCCGGCGCCCCTCCTCCTGGGACCACCGCCCTTCCCTCCCTCCTCTCTCCAGAGTCTGCAGGCTCCTCCCGCTCCCTGGGCTGCAATGCCTCAGCTCAGGTGCTCAGTGTGCTTCATCATGACCAGCGCCACCCTCCTCCTCCTCCTCAATCCGTTTCCTTTTGTTCATGGCATTATCCCCGCCACACCTCATATGTTTATTTTTCTTTCTCCTCCTTTGGAATAAAGCCAGTATTTGCTTTAAAATCTTGTACAGTCTCAGTGGTGGAGATGATGCCTAAAACACAGTAGGAACTTAATAAATATCTGTGAATGAATGAATGAAACAGGTGGGTCCCACACAGAATCAACTGTCATGCAAGAAAACTTATGTCCAAGTTCAAGAAGAGGGTACTAGAATTAAAAAGATTCAAAGAGTTAACACTTCCTTTGCTATGCATTAAAAAAAAGCCTCTAGATTAGAACTGGGACACCTACAGGTGGCCTCCTGACCTCTGCAGCAGGAGGCGGAGCTGGAGTCCTGATAGTCAGCCACCCAGAGGGAGCCGGCCGCCTGTCCCGCACAGGCACAGGCACAGGCACAGGCACAGGCACACACTGAAGGATGGGAAGGAAGACGCAGCAGCAGAGACAGACTGCAGAGTCCAATGATATTTAAATCAACGTAGGACAAGCCCGAAGAAGTCTTTCTCTTTGACCCACCAGGAGAGAGAGACTTCTAAAGAACATGTCATCTGCTGAAGGGAGACCCATGGTTTGACTCTAGTTCCACGTGAATTCTCCAGGTCATTCTGATTTTGTCAAAACAGAAGGAAAACACCATAAATGCTGTGTGCAGCAAGCGCTCAGACCTTACAGAGAAAGGGCCGAGGGGTCTCCGCCCCTCGCGAGCACTTGCCTTGAACAGCTCGACGTTGCTGAGGATGCTGAGGTTCATGTCCAAGGCGAGGGCTGACCGCATCGCGTGGGGCAGGGTCTTGAGCAGCTCCGACTCATCTTCATAAAGGGGAACACATCCACCCACCGGGTGGAATAATTAATGAAAAACATTACCCAAGTAGGAGAAAAAACAAAAAAATGAACAAAATGTCCACTCTTTTTATAAGTAACCAGCTGCACCCAATTTTAGGCCCACGGCCCCTGGTGGCCCCTGGTGGCCCCAGGTGCCCATCCCAGAAGAGGGGCCCTCAGCTGCTGACGGCGTGACAGTCCTGAGCACACCAGAACGTGTGTTTGCGCAGACCTTGGATATGGTTTAATGGCCACAGGACAAAGGCTAGTGACAGATGGGGACAGGAAAAGACCCAGTTCCTGACTTCTGAACCTGTGGATTCCAGCCCTGGCAGCCTAGGGATGGCGGCATCAGAAAGCCCCAGGCTCTGTCACTGTCTATGTGACCCCTGCAACAACCCTAAAGGTAAGTTTCTTGTCCCTGCTTTGCAGAAAGAAGAAAGAAGAAAAGAAACATTAAACACCAGTGCTCGGAGGCCCGCCCAGTTGTGCACTGTCGGTGGGCGGCCCCGCTGGGATGGCATCTAAAGAAGAAATGTGTTGAGCAAATTTAAATGATTATTTACTTGCTTATCCACTCGGTGAAGAATGTGGAGATCAGATTTTTCTACCTGTGAATGTTCTGCAGACAGAGCTGCCCATTCTCAGTGTCTAGTATGATCCCAGTTCTAAGAGTTGATCATTTTTGATGTTTTCTTATGTTCACTTAGAATAGGCAAATTAGCCCTGGCCGGTTTGGCTCAGCGGTTAGAGCGTCCACCTGCGGTCAGGAGAGACCTGGGTTCGGTTCTCGCTAAGGGCACGTACTTCGGTTGCAGTTTGTCCCCGGCCCTGGTTGGTCGTGCGGGTGGCAGCCACTCGATGTGTCCCTTTCACATCGATGTTTCTCTCTCTCTCTCTTCCTCTCTCTCCCTCCCACTCTATCTGTACAAAAAATGGAAAAATGTCCTCGGGTGAGGATAAAAAAAAAAAAAAGAATAGGCAAATTACTATATTATAACATAATTTTGATTCAAACAGTGGATCCAAATAGGACGATCGTTTCTATAAAAGCACAGGTCCGTGCTGTGGGGTGGTTTGTGTCTGTTGCGCCCGTGGGCGGTGAGCCTTGCCTCGAGGGGAGACGCGCTGGCCGTGGGGTTCTCCACTCCGGTCTGGAGCGAGGCCGGTTGTCTCAGTCTTTCGGATTTAGGAAGAGGCTCTACCTGCGGCTGAGTCTCCTGGGTGAGGCGGGAAGGTGGAGGAAAGGTCCCGTCGCCAACCAGGGCTTCTCATCGGCTCTCAAGCACCTTGTGATTTGAGAATCGCCTTGTGGTCTGCACTCTGGATGCTCCTTTGGCTTCGGAGTGGCAGTAAATCCCTCTTTTTATACGGAAAGGACGAACTAAGGTTGGATCTTATCATTGTCAGCATTATCTTTTGCTTTATAGCATAGAGTGGAAAGGACTTTAACTGCAGCATCATGGCCCTGAGAGTCGCCACCGTGGACTACGGAGGGCTCTGGGGGAGACTGGTGGTCTGCAGCCTGCTGGGAGTGCTGTGCTCTGTGTAAGACGGCGGTGCTGCAGGGAGAGCCAGGCTTTCGCAGAGAGCAGAGGCGGGTCTGAGACTTAGGTGTCTGCCAGCTCTGAGCCCTTGGCCAGCGTTTTCAGTGAGGGGCCTCCATTCCCTGGCCTCCTAAAAGGGGTTAAAGACACCCAGTTTTCCCAGTTCTGTGAGGCAATGTGTATAATACCTGCCCCCTGGCAGGTACTGAATAAAATTTAGTGTTTGCTCTTCCAGGGTTTGCATAACCAGTATGCTATGCTGGGTATTTAAGAAAAATAAACAAAAGCCCATAGTAGATCATTCATGCTTCGGATTTCATATAGCTGTTTCTCAACCTCCTGCTCAAATCCAATGGGTCTGGCATCTGCCTTCCTGAATGTCCCTCCCATGATGTAGCCCCAGGGATGTAGGGATTTGCCCTGCTTACCCAGCATCCTCTGCGAATCCCACGTGTACTCATACCAGGTCCGGACCCGGCTCTGCACACTCTTGGGAATGGAGTAAGTGTTCATGTAGGCGACGGTGCGATCCACACAGACACGGAAGCTGTTCCGAGCGGCTGTGGCTGCCCCGATGACATCGAGCATCTGAAACCAGGAACAGGGTCAGGGCATATATTCCACTCTGTCTCCGACAGCTTGATTTTTAACACTCTGATCTTGGGTCCTGATTTCCACCACTGACATAAAATACTGGGCTGACTCTGACCCAATGCAAACAGCAGTGAGGGTTGTGGGAGGATTCAGCCACATAACGCGTATGACTACACACAATTCTCTGAACATGTTGCATTACCGCAAAGATGTTAGCTGAGATTTAAAAAAATTACCTGGCACAGGCTTTTGTAAGGAATGTGCAAAGAAAGTCAAGCCATTCCCTGGCCGTGGCTGGTCTATTTGGGTGGGTCTCACTCTGAAAGCCTCCTTCATAGATTATCTAGTGTGCTGGTGTGTAGACTCCATTCATCACAAATTGTTCCCTGTGTACTTCCGTTGTGCTGTGTGGACTGATCACATCGAGCGTCATCATGCTTCAGGCACAGCATTCAGTAGAAGCTGAGACGTGTAGAGATCACCGAAGCTTCATCTACTCCTGTGACCATACTGAGGCACTGCCGGGGTTCAGGTCCGTATATTTGTGACTCAGACATAAACCCCACTCTCAGTTAAAAGCTGAGTTTTAAGGTCTCAGCGCAGAAAAGATGGACGGCTTGACTCTTCCTCTCAGACACAGGGAAGCAAGTGGTTGTGCACGTGCTTCGACTGCGGGCTGATCAAGGGGAGGAAGAGCAGGGCCCCACTTCCCCGCTGGCAGACTGCTTGTCCGTCCCGCAGCTGAGCCTCGCCAGCGGGGAGAAGCAGCTCGTCCAAGGCGCCGCTCAGACGGCTCCCACCAGGACGCCTGCTCGGTGTCCACCGCGGGGCCACAGGCTCTCTGCTTGCCCGAGTGCTGCGAGCAGTTCTGTGGGCAGTCACACTGACACCTGGGTGTCAGCCTCTGACTTACTCCGTGGGGACTATTCTCTGGCGACCTCGACTCCTATGTCCCCTTCCTCCTTGCTGTTCTTGACAAATGGTGGACCTGACCCAGTCATCTAAGGCCATGGGAACCTGACTTCAGGGGCTGGGCAGTGAAATCTAATTGAGTTTAAAATTGGTCACCAAGGACCATTAAAAGCATGACTGATCCGTGTTGGAGGCCCAGAGCTTGCAGTGACAGGAGTCTGAGTGGGCTGTGCTGGCTTTGGAGGTGCAGACTTGAGGCGAATCCGTGTGCTCCGGGTTAGGGGAGAATGTGAGGGTTTGAGAGGGAGAGAATGTCCGTCTCTGAATTGAATCGGAGAACAGAGGGCCTCAGTTAAAATGTGATGAGCAGGTCCGGTGTGGTTCTTGGTTGGATACAGGTGGGGATTTTGAAAGAGCTGTGCTTTTGTCCCAGGACCTCTTACGTACGTTCCTGATTGCTCGCTGCATCACCTTGACTCGCTGTGAGATTTTAAGGCACAGCCCTCTTACGTACGTTCCTGATTGCTCGCTGCATCACCTTGACTCGCTGTGAGATTTTAAGGCACAGCCCTCTTACGTACGTTCCTGATTGCTCTCTGCATCACCTTGACTCGCTGTGAGATTTTAAGGCACAGCCCTCTTACGTACGTTCCTGATTGCCCTCTGCATCATCTGACTCGCTGTGAGATTTTAAGGCACAGCCCTCTTACGTACGTTCCTGATTGCTCTCTGCATCATCTGACTCGCTGTGAGATTTTAAGGCACAGCCCTCTTACGTACGGTCCTGATTGCTCTCTGCATCATCGTGACTTGCTGTGAGATTTTAAGGCACAGATCTTCACCTCTTGCCACAGTCTTTCTCTTGGACTCCATGCTTCTGCCTTTCAGTAGCTTGGTATTTCTTCCCATTCCTGTTGGAATCTCAAATCCAACAGAAAGGCAGGTGCGGGGTGGTGTGTAAGACATCGCTTCTCAGACTCCCTGGGTGCGTGGGCCCCCTGAGGAGCTTGCGAAATGAAGATGTCAGCTCCTTTGAACTGGGTCTGTCCTGGTTCTGACTTCCCCAGAGACACTGCTGCAGGTCTGAAGACCACACTTTGAGGAGCAAGACTATTGAAATGGAGCAAGATATAGTTTTCGATCTTGTAAACATTGCCTTGGACACAGGAAGTGCTAAATACATTCTGGGTTTTGCTACTAGTACCAACATTATATTCTGTGGCTCTAGCTTATAGCAGTGTAACGACACATGTGAACTCGAACCGCATTTTTCTAGACCAGCTAGTTTCAATCACCATGAATGCATCTCCCCAGCCATTAAGATTATATTTTATACTTACAGATTTTAACTGCTTGGTGTCTCTTCTCAAACCTGAGTATTTTCTAGATTGAGTTGTTTTCACAACCTCTCCTCTCTCTCACCATGCTCAGGCTGGAGTTGCCTTAGCCCTGTGTAATTGAGTTAACCACGATTTTTGTTTTCTGTGTTTTGCTGTCTGGGACCTCCCCTTCCGCTAGTTTACTCCTGAGATTGCACCTTTCATATGCAAATGACCCACACGGAGCCTTCTTTCCTGGGCTCTCACAGTCGGTCCTGGTCCTGCTCAGCCGGCCCTGGCCACGCAGGGCCAGCACCACAGCACCAGAGATCGCTCCCACACCCCAGAGCCCGCACCACCACCTGAACTCCTGGTCCTAACCCCGCCTGCCCTGCTCACCTATTGCTCCCGGTGCTTCTTCCGGTGGCCCCTTTGGTGTGATGTGACCCACCTTCTTGGATCTATTCGTAAAACAATCTGTGGTTTTGATGCCAATTGCATCCTGGCCTGTCGGCCTCGCCACACCTAAGCAATAACAGAACCTCCATTTTAAAAAAGTACCACCCCTGCAGTTTATATTCTATTTTGGTTAATCTTTCTTGAATCTCTTCTTTGTTCAAAAGCCTCCCCTGGCTGACTTCTCACGGCTTTTAGGGTAAAGTAAGTATCTTTACCACCGAGCCCCTAAGCGTCCTGTCCGGCTTACAAGCGCCTTCACTCCCGGTCTTCTGGTGCTCATTCCACTTCCTGCGACACGTCTGTTCCTCATCCCTGCCGTCTCTGGTGGGGGAGCCACCCATCTATTAGTACCGAACCTTATCTGCTTTTCAAAAGATGTTTCAAATGCATGCTCTTCCAAGGAACTTCCTGGGAGCTCACACAGTTCTCTCTCCTCTGGTTCCTGTGGGACGGATCCTTGCCACTCACAGCGGTAGGTGTTGAGTTTTGACTGTGTGGTCCTGCTCAGGTGCTATCAAGCAGGTGGGCATCGCTAAACTTCATTAAGCATGGCTTTTATTCACACGCTGGCTTGGTGAGCGGACCCGCTGCTCATCTAGTGGGGAGATCCTCTCTGCGGTTTTGTCTGACTCTAATGCATGGGTCTCAACGTGGCCTCTCCCCTCGCAGACGTCAGCACGTGGAGGACCTTCGTGCTGTGGGACTTCAAGGGTGTTCTGACACCCAGCGTCTGGTTCTTGTGAATCCGGGATTTCACAGGCACTGGGCTCTGTCTCTTGCAAATGCCAACCACCTTGCAGTGGTTACTTATGCACCTGCTTTCTTTTCCTTCGACACTGATTCCATAACAAATATTTATGAAGCCATGGTATCTTCATTCAGTTAATTCAGGGGCATCTGCTCACCTCTGCACTGCAGGACCCTCTGAAGTGGGTTCTAACCCAGGGATTTTATGACACTATTTGAAGTTTAATTACATTTGGGAGCTTGTAAAGGTTTTTAGAAGCTCTAGGAAGGAAGTTACTTCAGAAACGGGCCTTTGCCGTGAGTCTAGCCCGACGCTCACTGTGCGCAGGCCTCCGACGACGCAGTCACTCTGAGGAAAGTGCAGCAGGGTTTGCGGCCCCTCTGCGATGCTGACAGACCTGCTCGTGGCAGCGCTGTGCACCTGCTCATCACCTCGCAGTTTACCTGGCCAATCGCGCTGGAGAACACAAACACGCCCAGGAAGAAGTTCAGCAGTTGAAAAACAATTTCAAACAAAGTCTGTGGTTCTGGAAGGCCCCCGATGGTAATCAAACTGCGAACAGCAAAGTAATAACATCGCAGGTACCTGTGAAAAGAGAAGACAGACATTGTGTATTTTCCTGTGACACTAAAATCACACTGTGCTTGGAGCAGGGATTCCCTCCAAGAAGAACATGTCCCCCTGGCCAGGCCTTCCGTAGGCAGCGCTGGGACACACCACGTGTTCTGGGGCCAGCTTCTCTTTCTGTTTTTCTGTATTGATTTTAGGTAGAGAGGAAGTGAGAGGGAGAGAGGGAGAGAAACATCAATGAATGGGAACATCACTTGGCCACCTCCTGCATGTTCCCCACTGCGACTTGGGCTCACAACCTGGGCATGTGTCCTGACCGGGAATCGAACCAGAATCTCCCGGTTCATGGGTCAATGCTCAACCACTGAGCCCCATAAGCCGGACCTAGTGCCAGCTTCTTCTTCTTCTTTTTTTTTATCCTCACCAGAGGACAATTTTGCATTCATCTTCAGATAGAACTGGAGGGAAAGAGGGAGGGAGGGAGAGAGAAACATCTATGTGAGAGAGACATATCGACTGGCTGCCACTCACACAACCCCAACCAGGGCCGAGGACAAACTGCAACCGAGGTACATGCCCTTAGCGGGAACCGAAGCGCGGGACTCTCTGGTCCACAGGCCGACGCTCTAACCGCTGAGCCAGACCGGCCAGGACCTTTCTGGATGAACATTGTGAAATGACTCCACACACCCAAGGAGAGCATCTTCCAGCTGTCCCCCTTCTCTCCTGCTGCAGAACAAATCTCCCCCAAACTTAATGCTGTAACCCAACAGCTATCTCGCTAGGCTCATAGTTTTGTGGCTCAGGAAGTTACCCAAGGACAAGCAAGCAGAGAGGGATCCTCTGTGCTCATGATGAGCGGCCCTCGGCTGGGGGTGGCTGGAGAGAGCTGGGAAGACTCGACGGGCCGACGTCTGGGGCCGGGATCCAAGGTTTGCTGGGACACAGTGAGAGAACAGGAGACACAGAGCTCCTGACAGCCTTGCACGTTCCTGGCTGTAGGGGTGTTTCTGTGCTCTAATGGGGTGACTCTGGGTGGCTCCTGGGGGAGGGCTGGTCACCGGAAGGACCAAGCCATGGTAAGTCGCTTGTAATTTTCTTTGTAAAATTTTTGAAGGCTTTTAATTTTATTTTTATCAATTGATTTTTAGAGAGACGAGGGAGGGAGAGAGAGAAACATGGATTTGTTGTTCTACTTATTCACGCATTCATTAGTTTATTCTTGTATGTGCCCTGACCAGGAATTAAACCCGCAACCTTGGTGTACTGGGATGATGCTTGACCCAACTGAGCTACCCGGCCAGGGTGAAGCTTGCAATTTTCATCCCTGTCTCCCATTCTCTTGAAAAGGAAGAAGGGCTGAAAAGGGAGTTAATGATGGACCATGCCTCTGTGATGGAACACAAATAAAACCCCAACGTACAGGGTTTGGAGAGCTTTGGGCTGGTGGCTGTGAAGGTGCTGGGACGGGGCAGGGCGAGGCCTGGGAGCTCCGGTGTGCTTTCCACACACCTCACCCCGAGCATCTCCTCCGTCTGCTGTTCATCTGCACCCTTGATCCCCTGAGGTAGCCCGGTGAATGTTTCCCTGAGTTCTGAGTCACTCTAGCAAATTAACTGGATTCAAGGAGGGGTGGCTGGGAGCTCTGATCGACAGCCTGTTGTCAGAAGCATAGATGGCAGCTGGGACTTGCTCCTTGGGTTTGAGGTGTGTGTGTGTGTGTGTGTGTGTGTGTGTGTGTGTGTGTGTGAGTGAGAGAGAGAGGGGGGCCAGCCATGTAAGACTGAACCTCTAATCTGTGTGACCTGAGGCTGTCCTCAGACTGTCAGAATTCAGTTCAGTTGCAGGACACCCGGCTGGTATTGCAGAGAATTGCTTGTTTTTTCCAGCCCCCCAGTGTCTTCCTCTCATATGGCTGAGCCTGGGATGGAATGGCTGGGAAACCGGGGGGCTGGCTCAGTACCTGTTTCCACTCAGCCCCAACATGAGCAGCTGGGTTTCCTGCCAGCAGGGTGGTCTCAGGGAAGATGAGTTCTTAGCAGGGGCCACTCTTCCCCGGCGGTGCGAGAGGCTCCTTATAGTCCAGAAGTCCCGCCATGTCTCAGTCTCCTGACACATGATCTTGTCCAGCAAGTCACCAAGGCCAGTCCAGATTCGAGGACGGGGCATTTGGATCCTCCTCTCATGAGGAGCAGCAGAGGCCTGGAGACCACGGTTAACCACCATGCGAGTGAACCCAGGTGATGGGAGCTCCAGGACATTGATGGGGCTGGGGAGTCCCCACAGTCCAGTCCAGTGTCTCCACTGGTGGAAAGTAGAGTTTCCCTCTTTCCTGTCCACAGTTAGTATACTGTTGATATGTAAACCATGGCGGAGACAGAGGGGACGAAGCTCCATCTCAAGAGGAAAATGACTCTCAGGTGTAATAAGTAATTTACCTGGAAATGTAGTATTGAAGACAACCAGGTGTGCTCAGAAACATACTTGATAAAGGTTGTGGACTTGACAGGAGCTACTGCAGATGAAGTGACTGGGACCTTGCAGCCCAGACAGGAAGAGGCCCGGGCTCGAGGGCAGCAGAGAGGATGAGGCAAGGTGGGGGCAGAGCAGGGCAGACTCCCTCAGCCACAGCGGCTCAGGGTCTCATGGAGCCACGTGGGGTGAGAGCGGAAGCTACTACCTCACCCCACTGTGTCTGCATGTCATTTACGACTAGGGGCACCCACAGCTCTGAGCGCGGCCTACGTCGGGCCCTCCCCTGGGCTCCCTAAGAACAGTGTCCGTCTATGGAAGCTCCTCCAGATGGCGTCAGCGAGGGGCGCTTGGACCCAGGCACCCTGCCTCTCTATTTCAGGATCAGAAGGGACACCGAAGAGGAGCACTTTTAAAAAAAATTATTTTTCTTTATTGATTTGAGAGAGGGGAAGAGAGAGAAACATCGATGAGAGAGACATCAATTGGCCGCCTCCTGCATGCCCCCCACTGGGGATTGGACCCACAACCTGGGCATGTGTCCTGACCGGGAATCAAACCGGCAACCTCTCTGTGCAGGGTCGACGCTCAACCACTGAGCCACACCGGCCGGGCCAAAGGAGCACTTGTAATGGAACCCTACCCTCTCAGGCTGTCATTTCTGCTCTGAGTGCGGCACATATATCACGAGCACTTTAATTAACTGTACGAGTCTTTGAACAAGGGTGGTCTCTTTTTATTAAAATAGTTTGCAATTTTAAGATATTCAAGTAGTAAGAAGTTGAAGTTTACAAAGAAAGAATCCAATTGCAGTTGAATTCCATAGTTAAATGAAAATAGATCTAGAAAGAAACCACTCATTTTGGAATTCAATCCTTTTGAAGGATAGGAATCTTTTTTCTTTTTTTTTAACCTGGGGGATATAGACAAAGGAAAATAACAAAGTCTCTGGTGGAGTATGAAACCACTAATGCCAACAGAGCACAGGAATCGGCACTCTACCGGGGTTCCTAGCAGGGTTCCTGGGATTCAGTGATATCACAGTGAACCTGGTGTCAAGGAGAACCACCTGTAAGAAGTACAAATATATGTTATGAACTGCATTTTAACTTTAAAATTTTAATTTTCTGTTACTTGATTTACTTTGGTCATGAATCCTGGACAGGTGGGTCTTTTTAAGTGAAGGACCTTGATTGAGGCAACCACCACCCAGCGGCAGAAAAGGGCTGGCTTCCCTCCCGATGCACCAGCCCTGTGCAAGTGTAGAGATGATGGCAGGGGAATCACTTCTCTCGTGTTCTTGTTTACGGATGTTAAATAACAGTTGGAGGTGAAGCTTAGGCATGGATCTTCCAAGTCTGAGGGTCAGCCCTGCGCTATTTTTATGTGTATGGAATAGTGTGTTGTGTTGATTGAAAGTTTTCTGCCCTGATGCCTGGAGGTTTATCTTGGGATTCTTTCTCAGTCATGTCTTGTACCCAAAAATGCACCACCAAAGGTGAGATTTGTAATTTAATTAGATGGTATCTTATTGATTGCCTAGGATTAGCTTAATTACCCACCGCCTTTCGTCTCTCTCTGCTCCTGAACTCTGTGCTGCTGGGTGTTTTATTACACCAGAAGGCTGTCTAGTGTCTGGTGTAAAGACTGGCATATTTTTGGACCCTCAATGGCTACCGTCATCTTCATGTGTGGACAAAGGGTGAGGTGCCCTAGGCTGCCCTATGCAGGTCCAGCCCTTCTGTCTCCTTCTGGGCTACCTGAATCCTGGTCCCTCCCCAGCCTTCCTCGTCCCCCTTTCCATGAGGATCTGTGTTGGGGATCGGGGCCTGGGGTTCGCCAAGAGGTCTGGGCACACTGGGGAATTTATGCCAGAAAATTAAAAACTGTATGGACAAAGGTAGATGGGGATATTTCTGGGTACCAGATAACTGACCTACTTATGTTTCCTTTGAGCTAAGCCCTTTCCTTCCTTGTCAAGCTTCTCACGAAGGGTGCTGGCTTCTCAGCACAAACAAAACCGACTTATCATCTCCTGCTGCAATGCACACATGCTGTTCTGGTGCAGATTCCCGGGCAGGAATGAACTGCACTTCTATTTTAAATGTTCACAATGCCTGATGAAGGTCACCCTGTTTCGGCCTGATTCTCACTGGGGCCAAGTTGACAAGTCCAGGGGCACCCTTCAATTCATAGGTTGGCAGAAACCATCACTGGCTTACAAGGTCAAAGTGTAACATGAAGGAACACATGGAGCAGGTGATATTAACAACTGCCCTGTGCAAACTGTCCTGAAATATGCAAAAATGCTGTTTTTAATGGCATTACCTTTGTACAAATGGAGGCCTGCCTCTCAGGTTGGTAGCCGGGCACTGAAGCTTTGGTTTGGAGTGAGTTCTCCTGTGTCAGTGGGCAGGATCGGAGCCATGGGGTAAGGCTTGCCTTCACAGGATGTGGGTGGGAGATGCCAGTGCGGAGAAACACACTGAGCCTTCTCTGGCCTAGGAGATGATTACTTGTGATTTTTCTGTGAGGCATTAGGA